GTACGCCATTATCCAAACTGTTAGCTAACCTGTTGGTCCTACTTTTAAAATATATCCCAAATCTAAGCATTTCTCACCATTTCTATCACTACCACCTTAATCAAACCACCAATATTTCTCACCTGGATTATCACAAAATCCCCTTTATTAGTCTCTGCCCTTCTACCCTTTCGATCAACAGTCTTCTCTCAGCAGCCAGACTGATCACTTTAAAATATAGATCACGCCCTTTTCCTGCTTAAAATCCTCCAATAGATTCTTATTTAAATAAGAATACCATCCAAGGTCCTACAGGATCTAGTCCATTCTCTCTCTCTGACAATTTTCTACCAGTCTTCCCCCCCACCATTTTGCTCCTCCTTGTGGTTCCTTGAACACACCCAGCATTATCTTACCTCAGGAATTTTGCATTTAGTATTAACACTGCCTGCAACGTTCTTTCCCCAGATCTTGAATGACTCACTCCTTCTTGAATGAATGAATATTTAAAAGATAACTCTGGCTGCTGTGTGAAAAAGAGAGAACTTTTCATGACTACTAGAACAGTTCAAAAGGAAGAAGATGGTGGCTTGGACCAGGAAAGGAGCAGTGAAAATAGAATGAAGGACAAATTCTGGACATATTTTAGAAGAGTAGCTAAGAAGTGCTCATGAATTGGAGAGAGGGTGAGATGAAGGAATCAATCAAAGGATGTTCTAGCACGAGCAAATGTTTGGATGATGACATCATTTATTAAACTGGAAAGTACTGAAGTAGTCAACAGGCTTGAGAATGTGAGAGGGATGCGGGGTACAGGGAAGCAAGAGTTCTGTTTTGAACATGTTAAATTTGAGATGCCAGTAAATATTCAAACAGCCGGACATACACGTCTAAAGTTTAGGAAAGAAGTTAGGGTTAAATATATAATTTTGGAAGTCATCAACATATAACCAGTAATTAAAGCCATGAGACTGTGGGAGATCAAGATTTGGCCACTCTGAAATATATCTCTTTACCTTGATTGTTGTCTCTGAGGACATTTGACCTCCCCCACTAACTGCCTAAAGAATTTGACATAGTAACTCCTTCCTGGAACAGATCTTCTATCTGATGGCTGTAATATAACGTAAAATAGATGTTACAATAAAAAAGGCACCAAAAAGCCCATCTTATCGGAAGTTCTGTCTCTCTGGCCACATTCTCTGGATGGCCCTGCAAGGAGCTGCCAGAAAAACATTTACATTTAGAAGGGAAATCTCCATTTGTAAAGGTATCTCCCTCTCTGTATTGGGAAGAGGGGGGATGACCTCATTTCTAGAAACTTATCAATGTGGAAGGTGAGGCCTTAAATCTGCATAATAACCTTACTCTTGTTTACTGTGCTTTAGTGGTAATCTCCTGTAACTCACTCCCCCCCACCACCAACATCCTCCTTTGTCATTGGATGAACATGGTATTTAAGACGAGAATTTCTGCTATTGTGTTGAGAAACGCAGTGTCCCTGGTTTCTCCCATGTATACATGTTATTAAACTTGGTATTATTTTCTCCTGCTAACCTGTCTTGTTAATTATTTGGCCAGCCATAAGAACCTTAAGGGAAAGGGCAGAGGGGGATTCTCCCTCTTCCCCCACAAGATTCAATGAGATTACCCAAGAAAAGTTGCACAAAAGTAGACTCAGCAAAGGAGACTAAGGTGCTGCCAGTGAAAAATGAGGTATGAGATTACAGTGTCATGGAAGCCAAGAGAGCAATGTTATTTAAAAAGGGAATAACCAACTATACCAAATCTGCTGAGAAGTAACAGAATTAGAAAATGACCACTTTATCTGGCAACACGGAGATTACTGGTGACCTTGCAAGGGCAGTTTTTTGAGGGAAAAAAAAGAAACTCTGAACAGAGTAGGCTAAGGAAAAAAATGGGAAGCAATGAGTGAAGACAAGGAGTACATACAACTCCTGTGAATTTTGCTATCAACTAGCACAAAGAGATAGTAGCCAGAGGGTGATATGGAGTAAAAGGAGAGTTTTTTTGTTTGTTTTGTCTGTAGATTGGAGCTACCAGAGCATGTTTATATGCTTATGTGAATGATTCTATAAAGAGGGAGAAACTGCTAATGCAGGAGCAAGAGGAAACAATGGAAAAGCAAAATGCTTGAGCTGACAAAAGGAATTGACCGGATCCAGCCTCCAAGAGGAGTTGGTTGATCTTTAGATGAAACAATAAACAATGTACCCTTAATACAGGAGGGAAAACAGATAGTATGGGTACATATGCAGGGTAGTTTGGTAGATGTCATGATCAGAAAATAAGGGACTTTTCATCTGATTCCTCCTATGTTCTCAATAAAGTACAAGGCAAGATCATCAATTGAGGAGAGCAGATTGTAGGTTTAAGGAGAGAGAAGGTGTGAAATAGTCATTGTAGACAGAGCTCAGTAAATGTACTAAATGATTTTACTCTTTCTAAGTGGAAAATTAATAAACACTTTCATAATCACAGAGTTATATTCAGTTATATAAAAGCAGAAACAACTTAAATGACCATCAACAGGGAATTAATTAAATAAACTATACAATATAAACTCAAAGGAATACTATATAGCAATTAAAAATAATGAAATAAGTGTAAATATATATATTAACATACTGCTGTATGTTACTAAATAAATATTTGATTGTACAAGGGTATAAAATTCTATTGATGTGTTAAAATATTTATGTGAGAGTATTTATATCCACACAGATATGTTTTTTATAAACAGAAAAAAAACTGGAAAAAATATACAATGAACTCTTAAGTGGAGGGTGGGAGGGTACTGAATTATGAAAGGCATATGACCTCACTATAGATATATGAAACAAGAAAAACCTATAGGCCAAAATATGTATAGAACATTCTATCTACTTCACACACATTAACAGTATAAACACCATAATTCAAGCAAAGACTCATACACAAAGACTTTCATCACAGTACACTTTAATGTGCCATGGTACATAATGATGAAAAACATGGTCATTCTAATCAAAAACTAAAAGCAATACAAATGTTAAGAAAACTGTGCAATTATTAAAAATGTTCATAAAAGGTCATATATTTTAAGTGGGAAATATTTCAGACATACAAAAAAATATAAAGATTAAAAGAAGCACCCATGTACCAAACACCTAGATTAAGTAATATAGTTTTTTAATGACATGGGACTTATGATAATGTTAAGTGGAAAAAACCCTCAGAATACAAAATTAAGAGTATGACTTCAGCTATGTAAGACAGTATGTAAAGAAGAAAATACATGAAAAAGTCTACAATGGTTGTCACTGGCTGCTAAGACTTTGATATTTCTTTATATTTTTCCCCTGCCAGGTTTTCTACAATAAGCTATTAGCACTTTATAATTATAAAAATTTTACTTTAAAAATACCAAATTTTACTAGCACCATTACCTTGGGATCATGAACAAAAGTATTTCCTTTGGTTCCAGGAGGGAAATCTCCAGTACAAACATATTTTAGACATTCAATAACGGTCTAAAGAAATAGAAAGTTATATTATTTAGGTATGAGAGAACCAGAAGTTTATCATAAAAAGTTAATTCATTATAAAAATATTATCTACCATAGAGACTATAAAAGATATGATCAGATAAAATTTCACATTAAAAAACCTGTAATGTAGATATGATTAAGTATTAAAAAAATTCTCCACTTCCAATTAAAACCCTTTAAACTAACTTAATAACAATGGCTAATGTAAAACATGGCAACCACAGTTGATAACACTGTACTGTATAAGTGAAACTTGCGGAGAGTAGAACTTAAATGTTCTCAGCAAAAAAAAAATAAAAGATAAATATGTGAGGTGATGGATGTGTTAATTAACTAGATGGAGGAATCCTTTCACAATGTATACATATATTCTAATCACCACGACGTATATCACAATGTATACATATATTCTAATCACCACGACGTATACTTTAAATATCTTACAATTTTATATGTCAATTATACCTCAACAAAGCTGAAATTTTTGAAAAAGTAAAGAAAAAAAACAAACCAAAACCCAATGGCTTGGGCCGGCCCCATGGTTTAGCGGTTAAGTGCACACGCTCCGCTGCTTGGCGGCCCGGGGTTCGGATCCCGGGTGCGCACCAATGCACCGCTTCTCCGGCCATGCTGAGGCCCATCCCACATACAGCAACTAGAAGGATATGCAGCTATGACACACAACTATCTACTGGGGCTTTGGGGGGAACAAATAAATAAATAAATAAAATTATAAAAAAAAAAACCCAACGGCTAATAGTTACACCGACTTTACTATATGCCAGGTATTACACTAATCACTTTTACACTAATCACTTTTACATACATTATCCACTTAATTCTCAATTAATCCTAGGCGGTAGAAACTCTTTTCATCTCCATTTTATAAATGAGAAAACTAAGGCACAGCGCATTTAGGTCGCTCTTGCCCAGTCACACAGCTAATAAGGGGTGAAGCAAAAAATTTGTATTCAGGCAGCTCGTACTCATAAACACCAATCTCCCTTCCAGTAGAGCACTTCATACAATGGTAGGTACATGACAGGCACTCAATAAATAACATTTTTACATAAACAAAAGCAGACAAGAGTCTGGCATTCAACTGTCAACACTAAACCTCATCTCTTTCTCCATGCCTCATTTACTCTTCTCCCTATTACCCCGACAGTGCCTTACTTTTTCTCAAGCCACCCTTTCAGACTACACATCCTCTTGGCTATACTTTTCCCGTAACTGCATGCCATTCCAGGGCCCAACTCAAATTTCTAAATCTTCCCAGGGCTTTAAAAAGTCACAGTTCTAAGTTGTGCTCCAATCTTCTATTTTGACTAAGTAAGAGCATCCTAAGAACAAAATAGCTTTCCCATTTAACTACGCCCCACCGCATCATTTAGTTTCATTCTAAAATGAAGTCATTTATTTCCCATCTATTATGTTTAGACAGTCGGCATACTTAGAAACTCTTCTTAGACAGTCACATATTTATCATATTTTATAACCACTTAAGAAAGTCCTGTATTGGGACAACTACCAGGAAGCGCTATGCTTTGGGAGCAAACGCCGACACAAAGGTTTCCCGGAGGACTGAGCTCGCTGAGCGGGCGCGGCCTAGCTCCCGCTCTCAAGTGAACCTTGTCCACTGGACAGGCCTGGACACCCTCACGAGGCCGGGTCCAGGCGACCCCTCCAGTCGCTGTGGCCTGGACGCCAAACCAGGCCACGCCGCGGGGCCGGGAGTCTCCCGGGGCCCCAGGAGCGGAACCACAGGCACGTCCTAATCGGAGTTCTGAACTCTCCGGATATTTTATTTTCCAGATTCGTAAGATGTGGCGACCCGTACACTGAAGGCGGCTACTCAGAAGACTTACCATCTTCCCTGCCCTATGGGGGAGGCCAAAATTGTGAGGGGGCGGAGGAAAGTGATAATTTGCTTATCTTTGTCCTCTATTCCGGAACTCCGCACGCCCAGAACGCTCATCTTTTCGACCCCGGACATGTTTGCGAATGTTTCTTTCCTCAGCATCAGGGGCCTGGAGCCCGCGGCCCACCAAGGGTCGCAGGGAGGCCGGAGCAGGGCGAGCGCGGGCCCCGAGGACCCGCGAGTGTCGGGCTCGGGAGGCTCCAGGCGGGAGCGAGGGCTCTGGGGGAACCCTTCCTTCCACACCGACCAGCTTCCTTCCCAGCGGGCGGGAGAGAACGGGGGTGGGGGCGGCCCGGGGCTGGCCCCGGGGAAACATGAAGACAGGCCCAGAGACCCCCGACTGTGCGTACCACAGAGTCCCGCCTCGGCTGCCCCGCGGGTCACGCGGGTCGTTACGGCCTGCGCGCATTTACACCGCAAGCGCGGGGCACGCCGGGAAGGGAGAGGCCCGCGGTGCGCGCGCAGCTCTCGCTGCCGGGAGCAGTGCCGCTCAGCGTTGGCTGCGGGTCCGCTTGAGGTTGAGCGCTGATTTCCGGCTCCTCGCTGCGGGTCCGGGCAGCGCCGGGAGGCACTAACTGTAAGGGTCGGCGAAGACTTGTGACGGACAGCGGGTCTCAAAGTGTGATCCCGGGACTCCTGGAATGGAAAGGGAGAGCAGGGTCAGCTAATATCAAAACTATTTTTCTAACCACACTACGAAATTATATGCCCTTTTCACTCCCTCGCTCCCTAATGTCCAGTGTTTTCCAGTGATCGCATGACGTGCGTTGACGCCATTGCAATGATGGTTAATGGAATTTGTGCTTGTACATTCCAGTGGTCTAAAAAAAGCTCAATTTTAATTTCTAATTAAGTATTGATAGTTATAACTTGCATAAAAGCCCTTTGGAGTCCTCAGTAATTTTTAAGAGTAGAGAGATGGTCAAGACCAAAAGTTGGGGAACTGCTGTTGTAGACCAAAAGTCAGATACTGTTATAAAACTATAAAATGTTATGAAAATATGATGTGAAGAAAATCCACTCCTTTAAGTATCGCCACGAGATAGGAATAGACACCTTTAAAATAAGAGAAAGATTCAATTATGCAAGATGAGTAATAAGAGATCCACTGTGTACCATAGTGCCTATAGTTAACAGTACTATATTGTATCTGGTACTTAAAAATTTGCTAAGAGGGTAGATCTTGTGTTAACTATTCTTATCACAAAAAAATAAAAAGGATGAGAGGAAAATTTTGGAGGTGATGGATATGCCAATGGCACTGATTATGGTGATGGTTTCACTGGTGTATACTCATCTCCAAAGTCATCGGGTTGTGTACATTAAGTCTGTACATCTTTTTGTATATCAAAAAAAAAAAGTAAAATGACAGAAAGAGAAATTACGTTTCTCAAAAATGACTGAGAATATTGCTTTTTGGAAACCAACTTAGTGGAGGGATAGCACATACAAGGACCTATAGGAAAAATTACAGAACAGTAGTGGAAGAAATTAAAATAAAAACAAACAAAAATTTTGGATTACTGAGATAGAAAAATGTAGGAAATGCTCTCCAATCACACAATCCTAAGACAATCATTTACAGAACTTAATATATAACCTAAAAAATTTTATATGTCAAAGGATGCAAATGGGGAAGGCCAGTGAGTAGTCTCTTACTGTTTGAAAACGTGAGTCAGTTATTACAATACTTATTTTAAATCCAATGAAACAAAACATATTGGATTTATACGGTAATGCTTTATCTGACAAATGAAATGTAATAAAACAATGGGGAAAGATTAAAGCCCATTTTGTAAAGTCAGGTTTATTGAAACATAATTTACATACTATAAAATTCACCCTTTTCCGGAGTACAGTTCCATGAGTTTTGACAAATGTAAACAGTTGTGTAACCACCAAGACCACTTTTTTCCCACCACCACCATTTAAATAAATACTTCGATCCTTGGATTATCAGTAGAGAAAAAAATGGAAATCTGTACGTTATTTTACTTACCATTCTAAATTCTGGGTAGAGGAAGATCTAGGTATTTCTGAAAGCAGTAAAAGAGCAGCCCAGAAATGTAATTACTCCCACTTCTAACAGAGAATTTTATGACTCAAGTTAACACAAGAAATTAGCAATGACTAATACAACCAGATGTTATATATCTCCTGCGGTGATCTTAATATGAAGTACTGAAGGTTATCTGTTACGCAGTTTGGTTTAAAAGAAAATGTTTAACTTGAATCTAATCATGCCTTTAGATTTAACTTTCAGTTCACAGGAATTAAGAATTAAGCTAATAATACCACAAGGATGGAAAAGGCAAATCTGGAAGGTGGGATGTGTCACAAGACACTGGCCCAAGATCTCAGATCAGTGTCATTAAAACAAGGACTGATGTCAGGCTGGCCTGGTGGCATAGTGTTTTACGTTTGTGCTCCGCTTTGGTGGCCTGGGGATTGCTGTTCTGAATCCCGGGTGCGGACCTACTCACCGCTCATCAAGCCATGCTAAGGTGGTATCCTGCATAGAAGAACTGGAAGGACCTACAACTAGGATATACAACTATGTACTGGGGCTTTAGGGAGAAAAAAAGAAAAAAAAAAGAGGAAGATTGGCAACAGATGTTAGCTCAAGGCCAATCTTCCTCAAAAAAAAAAAGGTATATAAAACAACAAGGACCATTGTAGATTCTAAAAGACTTTTTTTAAGAAAAGGACTGCTGCAAATTAAGAGATTTCAGTCACGTCATCCAGATGCAACACATAGTCCTGGATTGGATCCTGGTTTGGACATAGATATGTGAAGGGAATTTTGGGCATGCATGGGGAAATTGGAATGTAGACTGGAAATTAAATGCTAAAAAAATAATTCTTGTTAATTTCAGTATATTAGGTGTGATAATATTTTGCTGTCTAAGAAAATGATCCCTTTTTTGAGGTGCATATGGGAGTGTTAATGATAGAACGTCGTGTTTTCTGTAATTTAAAATACTTCAGAAAAAAATAACAAGTGGAAGGGAAAAAATGGACGTGACAAGGTAACCAGATTCCATTGCAGAAATTTTCAACTTTGTAACAAGAGGAAAGTATAAAACTAAGATAACAACTCTAGGAGGGTGTGGAAAAGATATGCAATAAAAATGATTAATTCCTAAAATAGAAAGAACAAAAAAGGCAAATCAGTCCAGTTCTCAGTTTTCAGTAAACTACTGCTGAAAAATATTTGCTTTTGCTTATATCATAATTAATGAAATGGAAAATAAAACTACTACGAGATACTATCTTATACCTATTAGTGAATCTCTTTATTCTTGTAGTACTTTCTGACATACATTCTATCTTTTTCTGATACTGATGTTGGTATATCAGCTTTCTTTTGATAGTATTTGTCCAATATATCTTTCTACCCTTTGATTTTCAACCTTTTTGTGTCATTTTGCATGAAATGTATTTCTTGAAAATAGCTGATCGATGATTTTTGATACAATTTTATAGTTTCTTCCTTTTGATAGATGAGTTTAATCTGTTTTCGATTATACTGTGATTCCTGATAAACTTGGACATATTTCTCATGTCTTTTTCTGTGCTTTTTCTTTGCTTCTTTTTCTCCTTTCCTGGTCTCTGGATTGATTCAGCTTCCTTTATTTCCTTGTTTTATTCTACTGGTTTGGAAGTTATACATTCTATTTCTGTTTTTAGTGGTTACTCTTAGTTTTTTCACATGCCTATTTTGAAGTCTAAAGTTATTATCTTTAGCATCCTTCCAAACAGTACAAGAACCGTAAAATCACCAACCAACTCTGATCCCTCCTTCCATCTTCCACATTACTGTTTAGTATTTTTCTTCCTCATTCTTTTGAAATCCCCTAAATAAGTATTTTTTTAGCCAGCAATATTTATTTAGGTTTACTATCCTATTTATCAATCCCTTTGATTACCACTGCTTCTTGCATCACACCTTGCTTTGGGATTGATTTCACTCATTACATTAGCAAAACTATTAAACCCGAGTGCTAAAGAAGCTTCAGGGAAAGAAATCTATCCCACATGTCAGGATTAAACAAAGTTGTTTTTGTGAAAGTGCTTTATAAGTTATAAAACACTGTAAAAATATGATTTATTTTTTGTGCGTTGAATATTTTCAGAGGAGTGATCTGGTAAAATGTAACAAAGGCTATAAAAATGATCACACAAGTTCCTTAGCATAAGGAAATATTTTTTTAAATTGTACAAAGAGCTTTCTAGTAACATTGTTTATAATTGTGGAATACTGGAAACAACCCAAATGGGAAAGGAAACGGTGGCACATCAATTTCATCTAGTAGCAGGTAACCCCTTTAACATAATAAGTAGATATATAAAAGAGAAGTATTAATAAGCAAAAAGATAAACACAAATGGCAAATATTCATTGATCACAACTCTGTCTCTGTGTTAGTAAAGATTGGAAGAGGTCATCAGAAAACTGATAGGCTGCTATGCCAAGGGGAAGTTCTGTGTTTATTTTCCTATAATGTTATTTATTCAATAAAAACCGATATTTTAAACATGTGCTTGGGGATTGAAAGGATGAAAGTTAGAATAGGATCAAGAAGAGAGAGATGCTATCATTTTACATTTAGTCATTGTGACAAATTTGTGGCGTAATGCCCAGTTGATTGATTAGAATCAGTTCATAGAAAAGTCATTTGACCTTGAATGACTACACAGTTAGTAAAAACCACAGTTATCAGTTTTTAAAAACTTGTTGCCAGTTTGTAAGCCACTATAGAGATAAAGGTTTTAGGGCAAAAAGATGGATGTTACCCACTAATATAACTTTTCAACACTATTCAAAGTCCTTTTTCTAAATTATATAATTACTAATAATTCTTAAATATTCTGAATACTGATTGCTAATTTTGTTCTATTCTCCTAAAATAATGTGGGTTTTTAAATATGCCATAGTTGGGGGTCCGGCCCCGTGGCTTAGAGGTTGAGTGCACACGCTCAGCTACTGGCGGCCCAGGTTCGGATCTGGGCACACACTGACCCACCACTTGTCGGCCATGCTGAGGCCGCGTCCCACATACAGCAACTAGAGGGATGTGCAACTGTGACATACAACAATCTACTGGGGCTTTGGGGAGAAAACGGGGGCGGGAAAAAGAGGAGGATTGGCAATAGATGTTAGCTTAGAGCCAGTCTTCCTCAGCAAAAAAAGGAGGATTGGCATGGATGTTAGCTCAGGGCTGATCATCCACAAAAAAAAACAAAAAAAATGCCATAGTAGTTCATATTGGCTTGGTCTCCATAGCTGAGCCTTAAAGCTTTTCTCTATCTTTTTTTCCAGGAGTCCTGCCAAAGTTGTGCCTATTATGTACTTCAGGCTCCCAGCCCCAAGGAAGAGACTTCCCGAGTTTCCACAGTATAAACATTAATTTGTTCAACTGATACAGCCAAGTGCCTGCTTATTCACTCAGTTATTTATTCAACAAACATTAATTGAGTGCCTACAATAGTCTAGTCCTCAAGGATAAAGAGTTCAATTAAATAAAATCCTTATTCTCAAGGAGCTCACAGTCTAGTGTGAAGTAAAAAAGGTCTCCAGTGCATGATATTTATGGAATACACAGTCTTTTTAATAATAATAGTAAAAACAATAAAACTTGTTTTTTTATTGCAACACTTTTTGTTGAAACTTTATGAAAACTTTTCAACTTGCAATGTTATTTTTAGTAAACTTTTTATTTTAAATAAGTTTAGATTTGCAGAAAAGTTACAAGAATATTATAGAGAGTTCCTGTGTACCCTGCACTCAGTTTCCTCTATTGTTCACGTTACTGTGTTACCTTTGTCACAGCTGAGGAACCAACATTGGCATATTACTAGACTCCACATTTTGTTGGGGGGAGGGGGGAGTTCCTTAGGTTTACCTACTGTCTTTCTTCTGTTCCTGGATTTTATCCAGGACACCACATTACATTTGGTCATCATGTCTCCTTAGACTCCTCTGGGCTGTGACAGTTTCTCAGACTTTGCCTGCTTTTGATGACCTTAACAGTTTTAAGGAGTACTGGTCAGGTAATTTGTCCTCAGTTTGGGTACATGTGATGTTTCTCTCATGGTTAGACAGAGGTTATGGGTTTTGAGGGGTAAGATCACAGAGATAAAATGCTGTTTTCATCACATCATATTAAGGGTACATGCTATTAACATGACTTATCCCTGTTGATGTTGACCTTGATCACCTGGCTGAGGTTTACCAGGTTTCTCCATTGCAAAGTTACTCCTCTTATAATCTCCTTTCTTTTTTTTTTGTTTTTGTGAGGAAGATCAGCCCTGAGCTAACATCCATGCCAATCCTCCTCTTTTTGCTGAGGATGACCGGCTCTGAGCTAACATCTGTTGCCAATCCTCCTCCTTTTTTTTCCCCCCCATTTTTCTCCCCAAAGCCCCAGTAGATAGTTGTATGTCATAGCTGCACATCCTGCTAGTTGCTGTATGTGGGACGTGGCCTCAGCATGGCCCCACAAGCGGTGCGTGGGTGCACACCCGGGATCCGAACCCGGGCTGCCAGCAGTGGAGTGCACGCACTTAACTGCTAAGCCATGGGGCTGGCCCCTATAATCTCCTTTCTATACTGTACTTTGCTATGAAGTCACTGTGTATCCCACAGATACATGGGATTGTGCTCCACTTCCTTGAGGGTGGAATATCTACAAAATTACTTGGAATTCCTCTGCCCAGGAGATTAAAATCGTTAACTTTTGTTTGGAGTTTAACATTGATAAAGTTTTTTCAAATACATTATTGTATGGTTCTTGCTCTGAGATAGTTTGCAATCAGGTCGGGGAGATCAGACTCATAGAAGAAAAGTTAATGACTTATGACAATCTTATAAGAAATATAATTTTGTACACGCATGTTCATAGCAGCATTATTCACAATAGCCAAAAAATGGAAACAACCCAAATGTCTATTGATGGATGAATGGATAAACAAAATGTGGTATATTCATACAATGGAATATTACAGGAAATTCTGTCACATGCTACAGCATGGAATAAACTTGAAGACATTATGCTAAGTGAAATAGACTAGTCACAAAAAGACAAATACTGTATGATTCCACTTATATGAGTTACCTAGAATAGTCAAATTCGTAGAGACACAAAGTAGCAGTGTGTTTGCCAGGAGGTGGGGAAAGGGGGCAATGGGGAGTTGTTTAATGGGTATAGAGTTTCAGTTTTACAAGATGAAAAGAATTCTGGAGATGGATTGCACAACATTGTGTACGTACTTAAAACTACTGAACTGTAAACTTAAAAATGGTTAAGATGTTAAATTTTGTTATGTGTATTTTACCACATTAAAATTTTTAAAAAGAAATGTAACTTTGAATAGGAAGTTTTTTTTTAATAACTAGCCCTCTAAAAGGGCCCCACAGTTATACTGTAAATCGGAGGCTGCAAAATGGTACCCTATGCAGTTTTTAAAAATATGAACTGCCAGCATTTAAAAATCAAGAGATTGTACATAATAATCAGGATTCCTGGCTTCTTTGAAAAATTGGATGATCTGGCAACATAAGCCCTAGGGTGTCACACGGCAACAATCAGCTGGAGCTGAGTAGCACCTGCCACCTTTAGACAGATCGTGCATGCTGTAGTTTACAGTAGCCCCACCATTTTTGTTGTATTACACCTTGCCCATTTCATAGCCAGGCAATATGACTCCCCTAAAACCAGTGAGTGGTTGGTGAGTTTTCTCCTGCTTAGTGAAGGCTAGGACAGTGGTATCTCAATCCTCCACTACCTAGATTGCCCGTGCAGCCCTATAACAGAAGTTAAAAACTCAGAACGTCATGCATTTAAGGTACTAAAATAATAAGTACTTGGAAATTCCTCTAAAACTTTCATCTAAGCCCCCACGTTCTCAGTGTAGCCCAAAGGAGTCCAAGGGGAACCACAGCAAACTCTCTCATGTGAAATCCTCTGGGGAGAGAAGGCTCCTGCTGGAACTCAGCTTTAGTTTTGAGAGCACCATTTTAAAAGCACCTTGATCCGAGTCGATTGTGTTTCCTACCTCACTCCTGAAGTGAGCCAGTATCTCTCCTGCAGTCTCAAGGAAAAGGTCTTTCAAGTGTTCAAATCAGACATGTCTAACCAAGAATCTAAAACTTTAGCACAAACAAAACTAGACATAGTACAGGAAGGCTGCTGCTAAAGTCCTACATTATTTTTATCCTACCCATGCAGAGCTGTGATTACATGCATGTAAAAGGCATGTCTACTTCCCAGCTGCCTCTGCTTCTCATATGGAACTCTATCTAGCTTTGGAAAGGGGTCTTAGATAGTAATTTGTGTTTGGTACTATGTGTCCTAGATGCTCAAGCTAATCCTAAAGTTGGGCTTCCAGGTCACCAACACAGAACCACTTTGGGACGCTCACTGAAACCCTCCATCAAAAACAATGGCTTACACCTCCATTATATGTGCTCAGGCCAGGGAAGAAGGAAGTGTATGGTCTAGAAGAGTGTCTCATTTGCTCCCTTCTGGGATTACAGGTCTGAGCCTAAGGAACACAGGGCTGATTCCTCTGATTACACATATTCATACATGGCCCACCCAGGGTGCAAAAGGACGCCTCCACCTTTGTGGGATGTGAAGGAGGGGCCATGCCCATATGTTATGTGGCTGCGAAGGATATTTATGGGTTGCCTTCGCAGCATCCATGTGCTTCTTACTACTACCTAGGACCCCCAATTTTTCAGGTATGCAGTTTGGGTGAGATGAAGCCCACCTCCAGCTCCAAGGAGAGCCAATAAATATATCCCATACCCCTGGCCACAGTTCAAGGATGAACATGTGATTCCTGGTCAGAAGGAGGCCAAATTCTAGGACTTTTGATTGAGCAATCAGAAAAGCACAATTTACTTTCTCCTGCTGCTCATGAACAGGATATATATAGATCGAGGAGCTTTGACATCACCTTGAGACCACAGTGGGAGAGCTGCCTGAGAATGGAGTCAAGGGAGAGTCAGAGGCAAGCAAGATGTAAAGGATCCCTCATCCTCAACCATTTGGTTATATGAGCCAGTAAATTCCCTGTCTGGCTTCAACCAATTAGGGTTAGGTTTCTGGTCACTGGCAACAGAAAGGATCCTAATCGAGATCCCAGTGAATACAACTTGACCCTGCTAAGTTTTGGTTGTCTCTGCTCTAATCACCATCTTCCCATGAGTACTTTCAATTCCTTTAAAGACAGATCAATCTAGCTACAACCGTGATAGAATTTAATCTACCTGAAAAGAAAAACCATTCCCAATATTTATGTGTTTTAACGTAAAATTCTATTTAGTGGTTTACATTTTACTTCTCCTTTTTATACACATCTTTTAAAAGGAAATTCAATATTCTGACTTTTTAAGAAATGTAAATATGGGGCAATGATGTATTAGCCTAAGATTTTCTCTTGTAATAGGAAATATTTTTAAAGGGAGGGAAATAGGGATTTTTATAATAATTAAAAGATAAAACTAAAATTATTTTTTAAGATACAAGGCATTGGAAACATTTAGGTTCATGATATGCCATCATTAGGCATTCTCTATCTGATTGTTAGAAATTATTCATTTCCTCAAAGAGAGAATAAATTGGTTGGGGATGCAGCCTTGTACTATGCACTTTGCCCAAGGCAAACGCTGGACATCGCAGAACCATGAGAATGCTTCTGCATTTGAGTGTGCTCGCTCTTGGAGCTGCCTACTTCTCTGTCACTGCTGTAGCAAGTCCCATGAATAGACTGGTGGCGGAGACCTTGACACTGCTCTCCACTCATCGAACTCTGCTGATAGGCGATGGGGTAATTTTCTTTTTGATTCCTACAGTCTTTAAAATGCATAGGTAATCATTTGTGCTGATTAATTTTTAAAGATCTGTTATTAATAATTAAATTTTAAGAGTGTTAGTAATATATAATTGATAACCATATCACTAGCAAGTTTTTAATTAAAAGTTATGAATGCTAGAGTGCTTTAAAAATGAATGTATTTCCTGTCCTTTTCAGAACCTGATGATTCCTACTCCTGAACATGAAAATGTAAGTTAAATTATGATTCTATAAAGTGATTACATGAATAATTAAATTTCATATTTTAAACTACAAATCATTAGTTATCACTGGAACTATTTAATTTTCTCTATTTTGTTTTTATGTGTGTGGATGTGAATATATGTACTTATAAATATCAGGAATGACTTTACAACAAGTAGAATCCATTAAACTACTGGATCAGGCCCTTTGGTGATGTTGTGAGTTCTCCAACTCAAAGAGCCTCATGTCAGGCATTCTTTCCAGAAGAATTCCACACTGGGTGAGAGGTGCCTCCTAGTTTCCCTTCAATTCTATCTATGGCTTTCCTCACCTTAGTGTCTGTCTTAAAGTATTAGCAACTTAGGGTTATATTTTTAGAATCGTGGTCAGTAGACATTAAAATATACAATAAATGCCCTATCGTAATAGCCATTTCCACATATTTAAATGACTACGGCTACATCATGGAATTATATACATTTAGAGTATGTCATAGTCATATTAAAATGTAAAACATATGATTTAATTAGTCTAAATAGAATAAAATTACCAGTTAAAACTTGAAAAGGAAACTCTGATGTGAGATCAATCAATAATGTAGTTGCATCACACTTCCTAACACTTTGTTTTTGGTTAAGTACTTAATTTATATCATTAGTAAAACTCCTCCATAATTATATAAACTTCATTCACTTTTGGAAATTATATCTCAGCATGAGGTGGTTTGCCACCTGGAAAAGTACCAAGTAAAAAACTCTTTGGAGGAGGGAACTCATGTAAATACCACAAAACAAAGTCTAACTTTTTGGACCAAATTTTTATACCCTGTTTAAACTATTTATATTTTTTAAATCTTCCTCATTTAGCACCAACTATGCATTGAAAAAGTCTTTAAGGGAATAGACATAATGAAGAATCAAACCGCACAAGGGGATTCTGTGGAAAAACTATTCCAAAACTTGTCTTTAATAAAAGAATACATAGACCTACAAAAAGTAAGTTGAAAACATGCAATAGAAATTTAGGTATATTGGTCTGGCTATGACTATTTTTACAGGAATTGACAGTTTCCTATAATACCTATTGTCTGTTCTTTTCACAGAAAAAGTGTGGAGGAGAAAGACGGAGAGTAAAACAATTCCTAGACTACCTGCAACTGTTTCTTGGTGTAATAAACACTGAGTGGACAACGGAAAGTTGAGACTAAACTGGCTTGTTGTAGTGAAAGGTGTTGGAGGAGGAGAGGATGTTTTATTGCAATGAGAATGAGGGCCCATCAAGGGTGGAGCCTTAAAGTTCAGTGTAATTAAACGTCAGAGGCAAAGTAAATATTTCAGGCACACTGCTACTTTAGCACCTCACACAGGCAGAAAGCATAAAAATAAAATACTTGAGATGTATTTCAGATATCAGAATCATTGTAGTATTTTCTTCCAGTTTGCTCAAGGCAACACAGATATATACTTTTATCTTATTTAATGTAACATTCTGTAAAATGTCTGTTAGCTTATTATTTATGAAATGATTAAGAATTTGGAAATTTAATATTTATTTCATGTTAGGCTCTGTTACAATAAAATTAAAATAGACAACTCTGGTTCAATTTGTTGCTGACCTTCGTCACTTACTCTTGAAGTGAGCACAATCTGTGTGAGAACATGCCAAGTTTGGAGGGAGGGTCTGCAGGTGTGCTGGCTGAGCGTGCCCATCTCCCTGATGGCAGAAGTCACAGGGTTGCTTGGTATACCAGGGGTGGAAGTGATCCAGCAGGACTTAGTGGGCAGCAGGGTCATGGGCAGGGGCTAAGCCTTGTTTCCTCTCCACGATATATCCAGAACGTAGGATGGTGCAAGTTAAATGGTAGGTGATGAATGCTTGAATAAATCAATGAATGAATGTATTAATGAATGAAAGTGCCTTCTAGGACTGATCATAGAATTAAAATGAGTTTCAAGGCTTCCCCTGGGAGGAGGGCAGTGTAGGAATCTGTAACTAGGTCTCTTCCCAGCCTATGAGAAGAATTTGGCAGACCAATCCCACTGCTGGTTCAGGGAAAGAGCCAGAAACCCTCTTTGTGGAGCCCAGAGCACTGTGGTTTGGGGGTGTTCTCTCCTCACTGGACATTGTTGCATAACAAAAGGAGCAGAGAAGCGCTTGTAGGCAGTTGTATCGGGAAAACTGGGTTCTAGAGGTGCCCACCATTCTGTATTCCCAGGGGCAGAGCAGTGTCAGGCAGAACAACACTCTAATCCACCTGCTTATGACTGTCAGTACCATCATTGGAGCTTCCTCTGCTTGAGAAAATTTTCCAGGGATCCAGAAAATATGTTCTTTATATTTTAAAACTGAGACCTGGAGGAGAGAAACCCAGTAACATTATTCAGCAATGCCACTGATTCCTTCATTCATTTACTGATCACAGGCCCTACAGTGCATGCTAGGATACAGCTGTGGGTGTGTGCTGGCGGTCCTTACAGATGGGTGCCGTTACCCTGGGCATTATCTGCATAGATTGCATGTATCGCCCTCGACTGCTTGTGTGAAGCAACCGCTCCTACTGATTCTGGGCATGGGAGTGGGGCCAGAGCAGTCAGACACAGATTCCCAGGTGGGAGAATGCAATTCCTTCTGTGTAAGAAGACGTGTTTTCCTTCCAGCACAAACCCAGTGGTGGTGGTCAGCACTCTGCTGTGGCCCAGGCCCCCAAAGAGTGCGCCCACCAAGCCCCAAGAGCTGGAGATGAGCAGACAAAGACCGAGGTAGCTCAGCGCACCACATGCTGACTGCTCTAGAAACTGACAGGAAACAGCAAACTCAATTTGCGAAGAGGCTGAATGTCAATTTAATTCAATTCAGCAAATATTTATTGAGTTTCCCCTATGTTCCAGGACTATTTTAGGGACTATGATCCATCAGTGAATAAAACAGACAAAATTCCCTGCCCTCGTAGACTTACATTCTCTCTGAGAAAAGGTCATTTTCCCACTTCTTGATTAGGGTCCAATATAGTTAATGTGGATTTAAGACTGGAACATCCTATCTAAAGTTCCTCTAATGAACTCTTACCAATCTGTCAGGTCTCAAAGAAGCTAAAAGCAATCACGGCTGTATGCAACTAACTGAAATGGGACTTCTTAGATGTACCAAGGATTTTTAAGGCAGAAACTATGATTCTGCAGCTGATTCTACTTTCCCTGTAGAAGCAAAGCCATCCTGATGAACCCTGGCCAAAGGAAGTGGGATTCCTGCAAGTCACACCAACTGCCCCCTCACCCACGCCTGACTACTGGGGGGCTCCAGAACCTAGGGCATCAGAGGAGAGAGATTTGGCGGGCTGCAGGTTATAGGAATGCTTCTGTGAGTCTTGCTTTTCCTCTCGAAAGCTTATCCCAATAACAGAGCATCTATTTCCACTCTACCATGGTGATGTCATTGTTATTGTCCAATGGGAGGAGCCAGTGTGAGCTATTAGGCTGGTTTTTGGAGAGACACAGAGGAACCTTCCCAGAGAACATCTCAACATAATGCATCCAAACCCAGAGTCACTCTTTGTCAGCCATCCTCTTCCCCTGAAACCTGCTGCTGCTCCTCCTTGTCCTTTTTCCTCCTCTTCCTTTGAGGTTCCCTATCTTGGCTAATATAACCATGACTACCTCCCCATCACCTTTTGGGACAACTCCCTGCCTTTTACCCTTTGTGCCCTTCCATCCACCATTCAGCCTCTAAAATGTCTCTCCAATGCTCCCTCTCCATCCCCAATGCCTCAGTTGAGGCTCTCGCCTCTCAACTAGACTCAGCCATCACCAGCTCCCTACTTTAGGCTCTCCCCATGCCTGTCGAGTCAGGACTGTTGATAAAATACACTGATGTCCACATGTCACTACTGAGTGCAAAAACCTCTAGCTCACTACCATCTCAGGTCTAGACTCTTTCACAGGTCATACCTACCCCCCTCCAAGCCCTGCCATACAGAAATACAAGCATCTCTTGCTTAACATTGCTTGCAAGAAAACCTTAACCAGGAGCCTCGTTACCATTATTTTAAATGCGAAAATTTTTAGTGCATTACATCTCAATCCAAAATCCTCAACCAATTTTCCAAAACATAAAACACAGTAAAATGCCTATATATAAGCAACAAGCTAACATGTTAGGTTGTAAAATATTTTTTTAATTTATTTTTTGTATTTATTTAATAAACTGTGGTAAAATAAGGATGTAAAATATTTAAAAGAGTGCTTCCCAATCACTAAACAATTAACATGGCTGCTTTGTCTGTGTAATATGCTACACGTCCCCTTAGTTGCCATTCAGAGCCTTTCCAATTGTCTTCTGTGAACTTTGCTACTAATTACATTTGGAATGAATCTAGACTTTCTCTGTTGAGCTCCCCACATCATTTTGTTAAAAAAAAATGCATCGAGTTTGGAAGACAAAAGTATAATATTTTTCCTATATAAATATTGGTAGAAAGGCATTGTATTGAAAGACACATATGTTCTATGAAGAAATGTTCTACCTGGCAAACATTAACTAGGGAGATGTTCTGTAGGGAATGCTAGTTCTTATTCTTTCCAGAATACACCACGAATTTTTATACCTCTCTGTCTTTGCCCACACCGTCTCAGTACATCTGTCTTTTCCCACGCAGGGAACATCTAGTTATGCTTTAGATATTTTCATTCATCCCCCTCTCTTGGCTCTCACAGTCCAGCTCAAATGTTACCTCCTCTTTGATTCTTTCCCTGCCTAGGCCAGGAGTATTAGTTGCTCCTTTCTCAGTGCCCTGCATTACTTTGAACATTCCTCTATCAGAGCTCTTGTTTTTATTTTTATTTATTTATTTATTTTTAATTTTTTGTTTATTGCAGTAACATTGGTTTGTAACATTGGTTTATAACATTGTAAAAATTTCAGGTGTACATCATTATACTTCTATTTCTGCATAGATTACATCATGTTCACCACCAAAATACTAATTACAACCCATCACCACACACATGTACCGAATTATCCCTTTCACCCTCCTCCCTCCCCCCTTCCCCTCTGGTAACCACCAATCCAATCTCTGTCCCTATGTGTTTGTTTATTGTTGTTATTATCTATTACTTAATGAAGGAAATCATATGGTATTTGACCTTCTCCCTCTGACTTATTTCACTTTGCATTTTACCCTCAATGTCCATCCATGTTGTCACAAATTTATTTATTTTTTGTTTTATTTCATTGAGGTCATATTGGCTTATAACACTCTGTAAATTTCAGGTGTACATTATTATATTTCCGTTTCTCTGTAGACTGCATTGCATTCACCACCAATAGTCTAGTTTTAACCATCACTATACATATGTGCTTCTTTACCCCTTTCACTTTCTCCTGTCCCCCTTCCCCTCTGGTAACCACCAATCTGTTCTTACCTATGTGTTTATTTGTTTGTTTATCTTCCACATATGAGTGAAATGATACAGTATTTGTCTTTCTCTGTCTGACTTATTTTGCATAGCATAATACTCCCAAGGTCTATCCATGTTGTCACAAATGGCACAATTTTGTCTTTTTTATGGCTGAGTAGTATTCCATTGTATATACCACATCTTCATTATCCATTCATCTGTTGATGGGCGCTTGGGTTGCTTCCAAGTCTTGGCTATTGTGAATAATGCTGTGATGAACACACAGGTGCATATATCTTTTTAAATTATTGTTCTTTGGATAAATACCCAGTAGTGGAATAGCTGAATCACATGGTATTTCTATTTTTAATTTTTTGAGGAATCTCCTTACTGTTTACCGTAGTGATTGTGCCAGTTTACACTCCCACCAGCAGTGTATGAGGATTCCCTTCTCTCCACATCCTCTCCAACACTTGTTATTTCTTGTCTTGTTAATTATAACCATTCTGACAGGTGTGACGTGATATTGCATTGTAGTTTTGATTTGCATTTCTCTAATAACTAGTGATGTTTCATGTAGAGCTCTTGTTTTTAAATATCAGTGTTTTCAGATCAGTCTTATATATATCTGTATATGTATTAGTCAGAATAGTCTAGGTGATGCTGCAGTAACAAATAATCCTTGAATCCCAGTGGCAGGACATAAAAAAGAGTTTGTTTCTTAATCACATAGAGTCTACTGTGGATGTGATTCTGGTCAACCTTCAGAGAAGCTGTCCTCCATGTGTTGGCTCAACATTCCAGGATGCTTCCATCTTATGGTGCCTCCATGTCAACAGTTGCTTTTGCAATTCCCTTGGCAGAGAACAAGAGTCATGGAGAATCACACATTAATTCTTAAATACCTCCTCTCACATCACATTGGTTAGAGTAAGTCATACTGCCATGAGTAA